GAAGATCGTTATTCGGCAGCTGTTGCTCAATTAGTTGCAAATCTACTTAGCAAATTGGGCTGGGGACAGTCTGCTAGAATGATGTACCCAGCTTGATGATGTGTCGATAGCTAAATCCGGTTGATGAAACTGTTATGTCGATAAAATAGTTGGGCTGAAGACCAAACCTAAAGATATCATGTTGCCTGAGAATGCAATTCGATGGAAATAGCTTAGCTCATATATGTATCCACATTTGATTTATTTTACAGAAAACTACTCTCTTTATAGCCCACTTTATTGTAAGCGGCTACCCTGGTGCGCTCAATCACTGGAATCACTTAACATATTCAGAAGTCATGGTGTGTTTAAATCACATATTCCTTTCTTTTGCACTGCACCCGGCTTGGACTTATTTTCAAATCGCTTACGATAATTGGATGCAACCACAACACAGAGTGTGGTTACAACGGAAATCTGCAACAATTGACACACATTTTGTTTCGGCTTCTTTTCGAGCACACAATTCGATTACTAACGAATGCCCGCACGAAGTAGAGTGTATTGTTCACTGTTGCGCCGAATAGTATCAGAAATTGCCGACTTTGAAACACGATAATAATTTGTGTGTAACACACACACACACACACAGGGAAGAAGGAGGGAGATAGAAAAAATTGTGATTGAAAAATTTGTTCCCAAATAGGCACAATCTAAACAAAAAAAACTTGAAAATCCTTGATTGTTGACGATTCATTGAAGCATACATTGATAAAGGAGCATTTGAAACGACCAACAACAGTTTATCAGCCACTCGCGAGAAGTAGAAGTCGAAAAAAAAAATCATTCACACACACGATCGTGCGAATGATGATGAAAGAACATCATAATCACCGTCATGGTAATGATTTATTTTCATGAACTCGACTCCTTCAAGCATGATATTGTACGCATGTGTACGTTGATTCTAATCATTTACAAATGCTCTCAGTGACTAAGGTGATCTCGGTACGAATAATGCCACCACCCAATCACTTACTAGTTCAATGGCAATTGGAGATTCAAATTCTTTCTGGCCAAAATGGCAACAATGAAAGAAAAAAATAAACACCTATCCTCTGGGGTGCAGTGATAAAAATCGAATACTGAAATAAAAGCCAAAAAATAAAATCTACGATAGAATCAAACCTATTAATTTGTTCATATTGTCGACAGCGCATTCCAATCTATCAGACAGGGAAATTAAATTTGACGCCAGTCGAATGTATCTTCATCGATCTCATGCAAAAGCACTTAACACACAGCCAATGTAAACAGTGTCATTTATTTTAAATTGATTCGAGTAATTACAAATACTGGGTGCAAAGAAGTATAAAGCTCCCGCATTGACTAGCTGCCTCTAAGTCGAGAAGAACAAAACACACATTCACAATCAAGCTATCAGAATTCAATTGACTCGATTCGAATCGGATCTGGGAATTTCGGAATAGACTCTCTCTCATTTTCTTCTTTCAATGTGTTTCTCTTTGAAATCAACTAAATCGGAAGTGATGGCTTCGTGTTTTGCACGCACTTTGCAGACAGATCTCATACGTTATATAACGATTCAAATGGCGATGATTGCGAACACATTCAATTTCCCATCGTATTGTGCCGCTTTTGCACTAACGAATGTGCAGTGTGTACTTTGTCTTTTAGGCTATTTATCGGGTACAAAGTCCCAAGTTGTCGCTTATTTATGCAACTGATTCTCCGGTTCATTCGATTGACACAATTGTGTATTGATGTTTGGGCTATGAATCTTTGTTTGATTTTTGATTATTTCAAGTTTCTGAATCTCGACATGCATATTTTTCGTGATATCAAATATTCGATTTCATTCGATGAACATCTCTTTCTCTCTCTTTGTGTGTGTCTCCATCTCTATTTCTCCCAAACCGAGAATATATTGACATTCCCTGTGATGTTTATGCACCATCTTTATCAAAATCATATTCTCGACATAAATGGCGAAAAACGTTTCATTGCATCAATAAATACTTGCCATGAACAAAATTTGGTCATGATTTTATTTGATTCACAAAAATACGATCCTAAGCGCAAATAGACATTATGCAATTTATATGAATCAAAAGTCAACAGTGACGACAAAAATTCTGGTCAATTCATTTGTTTCTCAGCGTTTCTGTTTTAATTTCTACTTCGTCTTCTATATTTGCGATTGACTTTTGACTTTGCGTTGCCCAAAGAGAATTTGTTCGATTGGTCGGTCGGTCGGTCGACTCAATCATTGAATTTCAATTTGATTAATTTGTTTAAATATTAATGAAAATCTGAGCAAAGATCTACCGGCACATTATTATTATTATCAAAGTCAAATTAAAAAAAAAATGGAAATGTTATTATTTGACCGGGTGCTTCAATTCTCCGCACTAGTTTGTTTCTTTCTTTCTTTCTTTCATCTTCTTTTTTTGCTTTTTTTATTATATTTAGTTTAGCTTTCAGTATCAATTTGTTTCAATATTGAGTAGTCGGATGGGGGAATAGATTGATACATGTGACAAGCGTCGTCACCTTTGATCTCATCTGATTTGTTGTTGTTGTTGTTGTTGTATGGCTGCGACTGGCTGGCTGGTTGGCTTGTTGCCGCGTGACAATCTCAAATCCGAAATAGTGTGTACATTTTAAAACATGGCCTTATTTCGTGGTCACACACTACAATATCTAACTGGCCGAACCAAACGATATTATTTGTGTGAGTGACACTGTTTGTGTTTTTTTGTTCACTTTGGTTTAAATTAGAATTCATGTTTCATGAATTCCTCCGAATGCGTCAATTTTTTTTTATTCGCCGTTATTGTTGTTGTCTTTGTTGTCGCGTCGCGTCATTGAAAATTCATGAAACAATCTGCATCACACCGAAAAAATCTGGGGAACACAAGTAAACAAAATAAACAAGTTTGACTTGCGGAGAGAAAGAGTGAAGATGAAGAAACAAGAAAGAAAGAATGAAGTAAATAAGAACAATAACATAAACAAACAACAACACTGAAAAAGACGAATTGCGAAATGGTATTTTGGCGCTGAATGTTTTGGGACATATGTTTCAATGAAATGTCCAAACAAACAAAACAAAAAATTCCCTCTGACTGATGATCAACTTCATGCGCGGCGCACGTTGCACATACATATTCCCACTGCCACATTTTTGTTTTTGACATGAAAATACCAATTTTAACAAAGTATGGCGGCGACAACAACAACAACAAACAACGACGACAAAATAGACGATGAAATGAAAAAAAGAACGCACACACAGCGATAAATCTCGAAGAAATAAACAAATTAGAAAACGAAATGAAAAATGAAAAATGAATTCCGATTTGTTGCCTATTCACAAACATTACAGCGTCAGCGTAAATGAGCGAACGAAAGGAAATATAATTGAATGATAAACAATGAACAAAAAGTTAAAGAAAAAAAATTTTTGTTAGTGCCTTATGCTCGGCTCACTTTTCTTGTACTGTGTTCTTCTCCTTCTACTCATTTTACTCTCGAATCTCGAAGAGAAGAAAAAACAAAGTAGTAGTTTGTAATCATGATTAGTGTGCGTTACGAAATCCGGATTTTATGAGCTTGAAATCGGGTTTAATTCGAAATTCCGTCGTTAATTCGTATACCAGACACGAGCTGTGTCTACTGTTGCTGCTGGAATATAGAGCACGGAGAAAAAAAAGAAAGCAATAGTGAGAAGAGATGGTGACACAAAACTAAATACTTGAAATTTTCAAAATACGACAATCGAATGAGTGACGAGCCAAGTGACAGCCGTGACAACTGGACCGCTTTTTTTTCTTCTCTTCGCTCGTGTTTTTCTTTGACAGCACAACATTTTCTTGTAAATATTGTTAAGATTTGGAGGAGCGCGCGAGTGCGAACGCGATCTCATTAAATCAGTGATTGAACGCAAACGCGCGCGCCTAATTAGAATTAGAACACATTGTTATTTTTATAAATCTTATCATTAAACGAAATGAGCTATTTATAATGGGGCATATGAAAGCAAGAATTTCATTGCGATTTGTGAAACCAATAAACAACTGAACCGCGTTAAAAACATTACATGCATATAATCATGCCTATTTTACACATTCATTGAGTGCCAACGGGTACACAAACAACCAGTTTCCCTTTCCACACGGTGAGCTTTTTTTGTTGGATGATGCGCGTGCGCGATAGAGTTTGATCAAATCACTCAAATTCATTTCAATCAAAAGTCTTTTTTTCCTCTCGTATACAAGTAGTCAAATGTCAACCATTTGTGTTGTTTTGATTTTTCTCGCTCAATGCATTTTTTCCGTTAATCGCTTTGATGTGGTTGTTGTTCGTTCGGGTGTGTGTTTTTTCCTTTTTAGTCACTCAAGTTTTGCGTCAAATGCGTTAATGTTGATTCTAATTTTTTTTTTTTTTAAGTGGGCGAAAGGCGTTTATGGGCCACAGTTTGGCTCAGTCACAGTCTCCGTGCTAATCACTTTACGCATTTTTCAGTGTGCACGTGCTTTCGAAATGATGTACGTGAAAAGAACCAGCTAGCGATGTTTGTTATGTATCACAAGTAAACCGCTTCCTTGTAATAATCGGTTCAAACGAACAAATCTCTCGGAAAAGAGCGAGAAAAAAATCGAAGAAAAATATCAAGCGTTGGGTTAAGGCTAAATACGCTTCAGATTCATTTTCTTTTTGTAATGAATTTGAAGCCGTTCTATATTCATATTTCTCGCTGTGTCACTTTTTATTTTTGTGGGTATTTTTTTTTTTTTGGATCGGTCGATAAGTATTGCAATTTTCCGAATTCTGACACTTTCTTCAATCAAAACACAAATCAAATAACAATCATATTTACATTTCGATAGAAGTATAAATAAGTGATCATAAGGTCCTTGCATGACAATCACATTGACAATTTTACTAATTGATGCTAATGTTGTTGTGTTCTGTTATTTCTTCCGTTTTCAATACAGATGGCTTCACTATTCAAATCGATGATCGTACGGATCCTAATTTGCTTAGAAATCTCTCTGTTTTTGACATCGACCATGGCCGATTTTAGTGAAGGCTTTGGTAGAGGATCAACAAAACGCTTCTGTGGACGAATGTTGACTGAATCACTGGCGTTAATATGTAACAACGAATACGAAACGATAATTCATCCGAGTAAACGATCAGGTAGGCCCTCTCAATCTATATCATATTTATTTATACGTTGAACATCTGAATGCTCTAGACTCCAAATGGAAGAAGAGCTGTTTTATTGTCGCAAATCCAGAGAAGAAAAGCAGCTCTTCTTCGTTTTTCATTTGTGCGACATGAACATCAATTGAACTGTTTCTTTGCATTTCGATAATGTTCATCGATTTCCTATTTTTATGTTGTCCGTGATGATTGGATGGTTTTTAATATCTAAATTGTGATTAGTAATTAGTTAATAATATTTGATTTGTATCGATTGCTGATTCAATGATTTGTTTGTTTGTTTTCTTCTTTATTCCCAATTGTAGATGAAACGTTCGATGAGTATGCATACAATGATCAGCCAGCTCCGTTAATCGATGATTTGCCTCTTCAGTATCAGACATATGCTTATCTGTCGAAATTAGTACCAGATTCGCCAGCATTGCGACCCCGTGTGCGACGTGATTGGGTTGCTCGTCGTGGTGTCTATGATGAATGCTGTCGCAAACCGTGCTCAGTTTCCGAGTTGAAAAATTACTGCAAACGGAAAAATTAAACACATTCGTACATACAAACACACACATACATACACACACCCACACACACACACACCCACATACATCACTTACTTCCTTTCACTCATTTTTTTGTATGAATTCCAAATCAGAGATTTATTTTAACTTTATCGATATAAACAACAAAAAATGAAACCGTTTCAAGGTATATACTCGTAAATCGCATACAAAAAAAAAAAATTGTCAAAAAAAAAGAAACAACCAATTATAGGAAACATAAATGTGTGAATCAAATTATAAGCCATATAAAATGATATATTGACGGAATCAAAAACACTCTGTACGCATTTATAGTAATCATGCGACGCAACAACAAAATTGTGCTAACCAATAATAAACATTTAATATGCTATTCTAGCAAACTAAAACCCAAAAAAACATTTCTTGCCATTTCTTTGCCATTTATTTAAAACAAAAACCACGACAAAAAAAAATCCACATTTAACCTAAACCAATGTATACGTATGTTATAGCTTTTATATTATTTTACTTTAGTGGAGAGAAGATGTTTGATAGCGTGATGGGAAAGAGAAAGGGAGAGCCAATTGTATTCTATATGTGTCTTTCAATGTAAAATTACACATACACATACACACACAAACCAACAAAAACACACACACACACACTCACACCTTTTAAGTTAACTTTTTTGTTTCTTTTAGACAATTTGCACACCTTTCTTTCTAGAATGAGAATGAGAGCGATGTGAGATGAAATGGATTTAGAAAAAGGAAACAATGCTCAGAAAATAATCAAATATTTAAAAAAAAACAACGAAAAACGAAACATACAGAAACGATGCAGATTGCAGATTCAAAACGTGATAAACTAACTAACATATATAACTTGATTAAAATGCCTATCTAGTGCACATACATATGTATGTTTCAGACTTCTTTTTTTGGTGATAACATATTTAGTAGTATTTCTCGTTCAATTTCAAGATCTACAATCCTTGATGAAGACAGTAAAAATTCCCGGCCATTCAAAAATTGAGTTGAAATTTGAGCAAAATTGTGAATTTTACCATTGAAGATTCTGGGGCAACACTCTTTAAGCGGCTCCTAGAGTATCAACTAGCAACGATCCCATGAATACCAATCATCATCATTTCAACCCAACTAACAAACCCAGACAGAATTGAGAAAAATATTTCTGAAACACACATATGTTAGCTGATAAACCGTATACAAAATTTGGAAAGCATTTCAGGAAATAATCTGAATGTTGGAATTTAAAGTGTTACAAAACACAAAAACAATCGGATAATTGCCTTAACGCCAAATTAAACTAGAAAAAGTCACACACACACAAATTCGCAGAAGAACGTTAGTATTTTTTTTACTTCACTGTTTGTTTCCATTAGTGTGATTTAAAAAATCGTATCCATCGCACGGTTTTCATTTCGTTCAAATTCAAATTGATTGCTTGTTTAATATTTTTTTTTTTTTGTAATTTTCAATTCAATTCTCATTTGATTGTATTTGATTCGATGTTAATTTTTTTTTACTAATTGATGATTGAAGGGAGAATCTCATTGCTTATAATTTTAATACCACCAATTTTTTTTTTATTCTATTGTTTTATTTTTTTTCTCGTAAGTTTTAAATAATTGTAATTGTAGAAAAGAATGAAGGCAAAGAAAGAAAAAATAGATGAAAAAGATTCAACAACAACAATCGGCACGAGTCATCGTGCGACATAGAACAAACAAAAGAAAAATGCCTTTTTTTTATTTAGTCGAAGACGTGCAAAACCCAAAATACAACACTTAGATATTCTTCTATATAAAAAAAAAAAACGAAATCTATTCAATTGCTATTATTACTAAATTTTTAATTATGATTATGTATTAAAAATTATTTAAAGTAAAACACACAGAAAACAGAAACCGAACTTTGTTATTTATTCTTATTTTGGCCATTAGTTTCATTCAGTTTTGTTCGTTCAGTACACGGGGTAATAGTATAGAATGCGATAAGCGCGCAAGGAATTAAAGAAGTAAAAAAAAATAAACCGAGTGTTGCAAGTGAGAGCGAGGGAGGGAGAGAAGGAGATGGAGACCAAGTGAAATCCAGATACATTGTTCAATTTGGTGCATTAATCATTCATGTTCCTCGGCAAACTTTGGGATAATCCAATAAACTCTCGCGCTGCAATACCACTTACATTCAATGCAGTGTAACTCACAATTTCTGCTCCTGCCCACATACATCTCGTGCACACTGAAATATTTCATCAAATACCTATCTCAACTATAGAATTGTGTATATTCTATATATGCAATATTTAACCGAAAATAAACTTAATGGTATTTGCTAAATGAATTTTCCCGTTTTGTGTGCGATGCTTAAACTTAACAAAACTTTATTATATGTAATGTGAATTTGTACACTGAGGTAGGAGGTAGGAGGTAGGAGATGCGGATTGTATTTTTCTTCACTCTTTTTTCGATCCTCTCATTCATTTCAGGCAAAACGGATAAGATTTAAGTCAATTTCATATTTCAGCATTTTTCATCTCAACTTTCATATCCCGAAAATGGTAAAGAATCGAGTCAAGTATGTAAAATACATGCAAACAAAAATTACCTCTAAATATGAAATATGAATTTTCAATTTTTAATGAATCCGCATAGGGAATTCAATATGTTTACATCTCTGTTGAAGTGAGAAAATGTATTTTTCTGGGTTCAAGGTAAGTGCATTCAATATGCGGCAAGTCGAGTTTGTATAATCCAAAAAGTGTTCAATTGGATAATTTTACGATTTTATTTGAGTTAAATCGTCCATTTGAGGTGCTTTACTTTAGCCATCATGGAACACATGGAAATACCGTTCTTTTTTTTTTAAACAAATATATTCATAATAAATGAGAAATTTACATGTTTTCCTGCAAGAAATATACATAAAAATTTGATCGAATATGATCGATTTTTCTTCGTTTTTTTTCTGTTTGCTCTTGTGCCTTCCTAATAGCAAATATTATTATTATTAAATAAGATAATAAGCATTCATAATTTTGTTTGTTTCTCTTCACATGTGACTTTTTGTATAGTATAAAGAATTAAAAACGTCACAGAAATTCTTGTTTTATGTATATATCTACTTTATAATTACGTGTGTTGAATCAACAGTGTTGATTGATAGCAAATTGCGATGGACGAAAGAAAAAGGGAGAAAAAAAAAAGAAAAAATCGTGTGTCAAATACGAGGAAGAAAAAAAAAAAATAAACGAATAAAACAATAGCAAAACTAAGGCGGTGTCGTGTTGGGATTTGTGTAAGTAAATCCTTGAAATTGATGCTGGTCTATTGATTGCAGAATGTCTTTGTCGATCGGTGTTAATCGCACTCGTTCACGTGTAAACGTTTTATCAAAATACTGTGTATCAAGCGGATGTTTCTATAAAACACGACCAAAAACGAAAAAAAAAAAATATTTATTTTTCTCCGCATTTGGAAGAATCGAAAATAATCAAGAGTGATTACTTACGATTTTTGGCTTAAATGGTGGCTCTAATTGTCTCTTCTCTAATTTCTTCCAATCAATTTCATAGAAAAATACATTTTCAGTGATTTCACCGTGCGGACTGGTTCCTGCGCCCAGCCGAACATTTGCGTCCTTCTCTAATAACTATTTGAATTTAAACGGGGCATGGTAATTATATCATTTGAATATGTTGCAAATTGGTTGGTTTTATTTGTTTCCATTCACTTACTTTACTTAAAATATTTAAAGCTTCCTTGGATAAATAAAACGGAAACCATGGAATCTCATTGCAAATTGACCAAAACAGTTCATCCTCATCGCAGCCGCTGAAGGGTGACTGTCCGATGAGCATTTCATATAATAACACCCCAAAAGACCACCAGTCAACATGCTGATTATATTTTTGACCCTGTGTAATGTTGTTGTTGTTTTTTATTTTGTTCCAGAGGAAAAACAAACCGATCATTGCATCATGAATTATAGCGAGAAAAAAAATTGAAAATATTCAAGTGACCGATGTTTTACCTTGATAATTTCAGGAGCCATGTAGTCAGGTGTGCCGCAAAAGCTGTCGGCCGTTCTATCCAAGTAAATCTGCAGCTTGCACATGCCAAAATCAGCTATTCTAACATGGCCATCAAAGTCCAATAAAATATTATCCAATTTCAAATCTCTGGAAAAGGTTACCCAACACATATCGGTTGATAAGTGATACTCGAGAGAAAAAAACTAGCAATTTTTCTATTTCCATACCGATAAATGATTCCTTTTCTATGTAAAAACTTCAATCCCGATATGATTTCAGCGGCGTAGAATTTGGCACGTGGCTCTGGAAACCGACCGCTAACTTGTATATGAAACATTAAATCACCTCCATTCAAATATTCCATGACAAAGAACAGATGACTCTAAAATCGGTTTTGTGTGCCGTGTCGCGAGCGCGCGAAAGAAAAGAAATGAAAAGTAGACAAGATTAGTTCACACGAATAAACATGAATATATGTGTGTGTGTGTAAGAATCATCGGCGTGACATGCTTCATACAAACGGAATTTCGTACAAGCAGCGCCCGTGTACTTCGTAGTGGAAAAAAAGTGAAGCTTGCTTGTCACCAATATTGATGTTCACGAACATCAAATTGTTTATGCGTTATTTCGCCCATTTTATGAACTGGAAATGAAAAGTTCTTCAATTTCTAGCAAATTTCACATATGAATTCATAAACACATCGAGAAAACACAACTTTTTTTCACATAAAAAGCAAAAGCAAGATGATTTTTTCGTTGATGGTTGTTCGATCCTGGATCGTTTGTGATTCATTAATGATTTGCAACACATCCATTTTTGATTTCGATATTCCAACTGAATACGATGTTTTGTATTCATTAAACAATTCCATTTTGATCACAAAATAATTTTTTATTAAAATGGCTATGACGAAAAACCACGCGAACGATTGCAAACGATAGCACAAACATTAATGTCTAGGAACATCAAATACGGAAGATTAATGATTTTATCATTCAATTTCTTCCTTTGGCGTCGATTTCGCAATACAATGGGACGGTTGATTGATTTTGTCATGTCGATTTAGGCCCCAATGCTTGATGCCTTCCAAATGTTTTTCGATTACACTGCGTTTGCCCTTATTGGAATGTTGAATGGCAAAATTTAAATTATCACGGAAATTAGTTTGTCTTCTTCGACATCGGTGGTGGGCACTGGGCACTTCGTCGGTCGATTCGGGGAACATCAGCAAACCGGCAGGCTGAAAATTATTTTATGTTCGATTAAATGCGTTCGATTAATTGTTTGTCGCCAATAACAAATTATATTACATTCAAAGTTGATTTTTGAAGATATCTTTTATAAATGTATACTTAAAAATCACAATAGAGATTTTATTTGGAATGAAACAATAAAATACAAAAAAATTACCGTTTTTATTCTGGAAAAATATAAAACTTGCAGATTAGATCAACACAAAATGTTTGTTTGCTTGTATTTTTATTTATTTTGTTTTGTTGCTTCACATCGGCGAATTAATTTGACATTTGTGTCGAACTTCAAGTCAGTGTTTCCCGATGAATTCGCTTTGACAATAATGTCAATTCGAATTTGATGTTCCTAGACATTAATGTTTGTGCTATCGTTTGCAATCGTTCGCGTGGTTTTTCGTCACAGCCATTTCAATAAAAAATTATTTTCTGATCAAAATGGAATTGTTTAATGAATACAAAACATCGTATTCAGTTGGAATATCGAAATCAAAAATGGATGTGTTGCAAATCGTTGATGAATCACAAACGATCCAGGATCGAACAACCATCAACGAAAAAATCATCTTGCTTATGCTTTTTATGTGAAAAAATAGTTGTGTTTTCTCGATGTGTTTATGAATTCATATGTGAAATTTGCTAGAAATTGAAGAACTTTTTATTTCCAGTGCATAAAGTGGGCGAAATAACGCATAAACAATTTGATGTTCGTGAACATCAATATTGGTGACAAGCAAGCTTCACTTTTTTTCCACTACGAAGTACACGGGCGCTGTACCCATGTGGCTGCATGTCACGCCCATGGTAAGAATTAAATGTGTTGTTAAAGAGTGTATATAAAGTACCTCTGTTTGAAATGTGCAAAATAGATGGCACAGATACGGATGTTTTGTGCCCAGAGCTAATACTTTCCGCTCAATCAGTGTGCATTCAACGTCATCGTCTTCGAGAACAACATCCTTTTTCAAGCATTTAACCGCATAATAGTATTCAGTATTTTTGAGTTCTGCCAACAAAACCTGTACGCCGAAAAGAAAGAAAAAAAAACGATGCAAAAAAGGAAAGAATATGCCAAAGTTTTGCATGTTGCTTACACACACAGTGAACAAGAGGGAAAAATCCAAATGATGGCCGCCTTTTTCTTGCTTATTTAGTCGTATTGCTACGAAGAATTTCGTCGATTGCTTTACAAAAACCACAAATGCTTTTAACCCACTTTATATTTACGTCGAGACTGAAAAAAACCGGGCTAAAATCGACTCATCTTTGAAGTTGACTTCAAAGTGAGTGAGAGAGGCAGAGATAGAAAATCACATTGAGAACAAGACTGTGAGAAAGGATATGAAACTAGAAAAAAAACCACTGACACAGGCAAATTCGTGTTCTAGTTCACTTGCATTTTAAAACATGAGATGCATCTTTGGCAAATAGAAAGAAGAAGAAGAAGAAGAAGAAAAAAACAGATTTTGCGACCAAGTGGCAATGTGGCATTTTGAACGAAAGAAGAAAAAAGCCTCAAATTCTTTTTCTTTTCCATCAATTAAGTGGGGCAAAGCTCTTAAGTCTCGAACATAATGGATGATCCTCTTTCTTGCGAAAATATATGCAACGGCAATGGCATTTGATTGATTCGATTTGGAATTGGTTTTTGTTTGGATAAATAATTACCTTTCCGAAGCTTCCTTTGCCCAACACCGTTAAAAAGTGGAAATCATCGACCGAGTACTTTTTGAAACGTGGTATTGATGTTGCTGGAGCGGTAATGTTGCCCGAACGCTGAAATTGTGCATAAGTGTAGGATGTTTCTGTGGAGAAAAAAAAAAAAAACAAATGAGTAAGTTGCATGTTAACAAGAATGAAAAACCAAAAGTTTTTTTTTACACTCATTTTCATTTTGGATTCCGTATTCAAGTGTTTATTACTCGGTAAAAGTCAATAAAAGTAGGTCCCTTTTTTCCCCTTTTAAGTCAATTTTTTTCAACTCTAAACTCTTGAATACGGCGAGGGACTTTATAAGCTTTTCACCTGCACACAGGATTAGTTCAAACGTATTTA